ATTGCGCAAAGCACTTTTCGAAATTCAGAGAGTACTCATATAAAAAATCATGGAAAACCTCAAATATAATACATGGGTGTTTATCACACTATGAGTATATATGTCTACCATAGTTAATTAATATATTGTTTATTTCGAACACAACATTTTTAATTTAACCAACTGGACTCATAAATGACTGGACTGGACATATGTAGATACTTTGTGAAATACAATAATGATACCAATTGTAACTCAATGTATCATATGTAAAAACCAAATAAATGTGAACATTTGCATGGTAAATTTCTCATATATGGTCTGGCACCTACCTACTATTGTTCAATCCCCATCTCATTAGAAAATATAGGAAAATATTTTTGGACATTCGAGAGCGAATGCTGTATGATTGTAACTAATTTCACTTTTAAATTATTTCACAAATTAAATAAATAGCATGCAACTTTATTTATAGGAATCCTCTTGAGTTTATATATAATATAGAACGGTACAACAAAAGATAAACCATACAAATCAAGTTGTAGAGGCAACCGATATACACACGACAGAAGGTATTATAAAAACTAGAACTGTGAAACATAATAAAAATGGAAAGCTATTATAGTTGATAGGTAAAATGGAAAAATTGTCCACGTGGATTTCCTTACTGACATTTTGGGCGACTTATTTCCCGAATGCTTCAACATCTACGGGACAAGGTAAATACATTTTTGTATAAAGTTATTATCAAATCTGGAAATTTGAATCTAACATCACTATTTTTGAACTGATTTTAATTCTACCAGACTTGCCAATCTCTCTTTTGTTTTTCCGTAAAAAATACCAAACTCCCATACCGTTTTCTCCCGTAAAAACTCCCGTAAACTCCCGTACCGTATTTTTACTAAAATATCCCGTAATTTTTTTTAAAAATATGGCCGTAAAATCTCCCGTATTTTTGCTGAAATCTCCCGTAAAATCTCCCGTATTCTGGTATAACTCCCATAAAATCTCCCGTATTCTAGGTATAACTCCCGTAAAATCTCCGTTTTTTGCTGTCGAAATCTACCGTATTCAAAATGAATTTGACAAATTTGTGACCTTGATTATTGCAGGCATGCTTCTTTTTTTACTCCAAGAAGGATTGGCTCCCATGGTTCACTATCGATACTTTCATAAATAACTTAAAAGTACTTCATTCCCATAATTCAAATTGCTTTTCTGCGATCAGTTCGGCATAAGTTTGCACACCAAATGTCCACAAACGGGGGCCAGTTCATATTCTGTCAAACTTCTGTCGAGAGAATACACTTTGTTTTTATATGGCGCTAAACAAAATATTCCCGCAATATAAGGCGCATTATGGGTAGGGATTGCTGTGAAATAATGAACGTAAGTGACATCTATTATAAGTTCTAATTAATTTATTAAATGCGCATACGTCATAATAATTTCAACCAATTAAATCGCTGGATTTAATGCTCATGCGCGAAAAACCGAACCTAAAAATGAAAACTCACGTTTTTTTCAAAATCTACCGTAAAACTCCCGTTTTTCCAGAAACCTACCGTAAGAACTCCCGTTTTTTCTAAATCTACCGTAAAAACTCCCGTTCTTTCTAAATCTACCGTAAAAACTCCAGTTTTTTCAAAATCTAAAGTAAAAACTCCCGTTATTTCAGAAATTTACTGTAAAAACTCCCGTTCTTTCAGAATCTACCGTAAAAACTCCCGTTTTTTTCAGATATCTATCATAAAAACTACCGTTTTTTTAAAAATCTACCGCAAAAAATCCAGTTTTTTCATTTTAGGTTGGCAAGTCTGATTCTACGTACTTTTATTAATAAAACAATGTTTTGCAACAACTCTGAATCGTTTGATTCGTTTGATTTTTATTCAATTATACAAAATTATTTTTGCGTGTTTATTTCCCGAGAATCCGTCATTAAATTGCTGTTTTCCTTTTTCTAATACCTCTGGCTTAATAATATGCAGCGCCGTTGTGACTAGAACGCTATATCTTTCTGTTTTAATTCATGCATGACATCAAACGATTCAGATTAAAAAGATTAAATTCAGATTTAAAAAAGAACACACATTTAGATATAAAGAGGGGGGGGGGGGGGATATACGGAGGGGGGGGGGGCAATATGTATAAAAGACATGATTAGAGATGTTTCGCGATTTTAAGTCCTTTTACTCCAAATGTCCCCATTTTTCAGTCTCCAGGGATATATCATCCAGTTTCTTACTAAGTTAATGAGTTCATTTTTCAAATACAAGAATTCGTGTGAAGTTGTTTCACTTTATAGAATTACTACTCCCCCCCCCTCCGTCCCCTCCCCCCCCCTCCGTCCCATTTTAATTATTTTCGATTATTTTTTATTTTACGTATGGAAACTTATTTTATAAATTCAGCAATGACATTATTCTACATATAATATTTTACCATACCGTGCGCCTATCCATTTAGCAATTCAATAGTAAACTTTTTCTTGAAAAAATTAATCTTCCAGATTTGTTGAATTTCCTAGCAGAAATTGCCTGCTCCCCCCCCCCCCTCCGTCCGAGATTCACGATCACCGGGCGTGATATCAGTTATCCAACTCTGTTATCCAAATGGATAACCAAAGCCTAAGTACATTTGCTCTACGGCTTATTCCTATATTTCAAGATGCATATAAGGGAAGCTACGGCCGCCTTATTGTTGCCGATCAAATGTGACTGAGGCATTCAGGGCCGTGGCCAGGGGGGGGGGGGGGGTCAGGGGGTTAGAGCGACCCCCCTTGGCCAAGAATAATTTTAAAATCATGCAGATTTTCACTGTTCTGAGTATATTCCAAGCGATATTGGCCATCTATGGGCCAAAATTATCAAAATTGGACACTGGAATCTTTAAAAAATGAAACCCTTCAGCAAATCCTGGTTAGGGTCTGGCATAAGACGTCAAAACTTGTAAATGTATTATTTCAGAATCCAAGTTCCTAATCGGTGAAGGTATTGACAAGTGCGTTGGCGATACTCGGGTCGCTACTGGTACTATTCACATGTCAGCGCGTGGAGAATGCGATGGTAAATCATTTAGGATAACTATGAGATAACGATTTTGTGGAAAACAAATAAATGACAAATGTAGAAAAAATCGACTTGGATACAATTTAGCAAGTTTGTCTGTAAGGCGTCGGAAGAAAAACAACGTACAAAAACTACTTTTACTAATACACACTAGGGACTATACAACTAAGTCACTGCAAAATAATGATATTCAACATATTTATTTTAGATATTGGTGGGCATTGGGTTGGCTCTGGGGATGTCTGGAGAGACTGCCGTTTTGACTTGTGCAAAATTGAAAAATGGGGTATGCGACATGGTATTGTACCCTCTAAGGTCAGTTATGGTTAAGAAGTCACCAAACCATTTCGAATTCATTGCTTTGGTGCCATATTTCATTTCCTTGCAATGGTGATTTTATATAATATAGATAAATGTAAAGGTCGACAGTAAGTTTATCATTACTATAAAATTATTTGGGTTGGTTTAGATAGTACCTAAAAAGGCTTAAATGAACACTCGAACAGGTTTTATTATAGCTAGGTTCAATTGGATTTTAAACACGAGTTTAGTAAAATTTCCATTTTTTGTATTTAGTCATTTCAACATAAACTTCCAGCCTGGTTCCTGCCCGATTGGTTCTAAAAGGGCGTATGGTATGATAGATATGCCCTTCATAAATTGCAAGAATCTTGAAGGAGCTTACAATGATTACACATACGACACCTTTGAAATTATGCAATGTCATCTAGACTGGTGCTACACCAATATATCGAATGGGTATCAGTTCGTACCTGCTTCAATCGGTGAGTGTTTTAAAGGTCCCAAGTGAGGAAATTTTGTAGCAATACATTAATCAATCAATAATTCATTAAAAATTGTTCCTCGCTTAATATGACATTAGTTCTAACGTTTACACTGTGAATGAAATAGAAACAATACAATTAACAGTATTAAAATAATAATTTGAAATGACTATATCCTACCAAATCACGTTGTTGTTTCATAGGGAATTATCCCAGTTCACTGGTAAATGTTGAAATAAATGTAAACCAATAGCACAGATTAGAGAAAAGATTGTGCTTAATTTTGCCTCACAAACACTATGAAATAGTGTGTACAAAAGAAATAGTACATTGTACATAGCATACATAGTATACACAAAAGAAAATATAATCGAAGCACTTTAATAACTGCATTAGTGTTTCCTTGGTGATGTTTTGTTTTCCAATGCTGCAACGTTAACAACAATTGAATTACAATTATCATTGTACTAACTAATTAGTACACGTTCGGGATAATAATTTATCTATCAAATGTAACGATCAAATCAATGAAGAAATAAGTTTGAAAGGCAATGATTAGGCTGCTATTCGGGTTAATCATCAACCAATCAAATCAATTTAAAAATCTTAAAATTTGCAGGAGATATCTGTTAAAAACAGAAATTGAATAAGATAAGTCTCGGCTTCAATATGTTCATATATTCAATACATTAAAACAGCGGTGACATATTGGCTTCTGTAATTAGTGACGTATATTGGGTCTGTAGCAGATTCTTACAACTTCAAATAATTTAACAAATACTGTATAGACTGACTTCAATTGTTTCCAAAATCATCTACATGTTTTCAGAAGTTAAAATCTGACTTAATATTTAAGATTTGACCTTCAATTACCTTTTCAAGGTCAAAAAAGGTCATAAAAGTCTTTTTTCAACTCGCTTCAAATTTACCAGTTTTTTTCAAAATCATCTCAAGATCTCGAGATTTCAAATCTGACTATAGACTTGACATTAAATGACATTCTCAAGGTCAAAATAGATGTGACCTTTAATGACCTCCTGAAGGTCAAAAAGGTCTTTTTATCTTGCTTCAACTAGGTGGTGACATTTTGTCATGTTAATGCCTTCTTGTAAGTTTAGGCTCATGTCCTAACGGCACACACAAAGTGCAAGGAAGGATTAAGATGCAGGGAAAAGAATGTCGTGATGTGGGAGGTAGTGCCAATGGAAATGCTGCCGATGACGAATGGACGCAGTGTAACCTGGATTGGTGTAACTTGCCTGGTACGTATACGTAATGTTACGCGGTATCATTCATCTTCTATTTTTCATATCTTCAAAAGTTCTTCTAAAGATTTTCTGATAAAAAAATTTTAAAGAAAAGTTGCCATCTTTTCATTTCTCAAATATTCAAATTTCCCGCCATTTTTCAAATAATTGTTAAAGAATTTAAGCCCAAGACTCAATGCATTATTTGCCAAATCATATCATGAAGGTGTTGTTTCCAAACCTCTGCATGACCGCGCAGCGAGAATGCAAACTTTAGGAAACAACGCCTGAGTGGAATGAAGCAGCTACAATGCATTGAGTCTTGGGCTTAAATTATTTTCACACATTGCAAATATTTTTCTATAAAATCATCTTAAAGGAACGGAATCACTAAAAGAACACATTTTTTGTTTTGCAAGGGTCAAGTTGGCAAATCCAATGTGAAAAATCCATTCATTATCCATGACAACTGTTTAACTAGTGACCTTGCATGTGTTATTGATATTTCACACACTGTTCATTATGTGAATACTCTGTTCGGATTTGTTGGAATCGGACACACCTTGCCTAGCAATGTGTAAATGACATTTCTAATCATCAAATATTTCATTATACAGTGCATTTAACATATTATTTTAACGCCATTGTAAAGATTGAACAAACACACACTATTCCAATGATAAAATGTCATATCTAATGTGCCATAGATGATATAGTATACAAATTGCAAACTAAGTGACATCATCGTGATATAGCCCAGGTTGCATTTTTTAAAGTCAGATTTTTCTATGTCAATTTTTTCTTGATATGCTAAACTCTCAAAATAGTGACTAGGTTGAATATATTATGTTTCAAATATTACTGCATCTTTGGTCTCTATGAGAACTAGGATTTTAAAACACATTAACATCTGAACCATTTCCATGCATGGATGAGTTAATTTCTTGCTTATTGAATCCACTAATAGTCTTAAAGTTTTTGACAAAAGACCCACAAGGATGAGTGCTATCCATTGTTGTAAATTGTGACTTATCAAAATATATTTGTAACCTCTTGTATTTAGTTTTATTTTTCAAATAAAAAGTCCTTCAAAAACCACTTCGCATACCACATTCTGATAGCATTACGGGTAAGACTATATTATAAATCAAAGTGGCTTAAACTTTGTATCGGGCCTTTAAGTTTTTTGGCGTAGACATGGCTCATGGAAAGTTTTATTATAACATGATACATCCCGTTACAATTTAGGTCACTGTAAACATTCAGAACGATTGATATCCGGAGATGTTTACCATGTTGATGACGCAAACATCACTGCATCCGGGAGTTTTGATCCTTCTATGGGTACAAACAGAGCTAGACTAGACACACCACAAACGTATGTTGACGTAGAAATGTCTTTCATATTAACATTGCAGTTAACGTTACTATTGGAAAAACCGAAAAATGACATTTCGAATTCACTCTGGTAAAAATATGTCATTCCGTGGTTGTTATTATTTTAATCATAATATGGGTCAAATCCCCTCATGGGTATTATTATTTAAGTCATGATATGGGTCAAATCCCCTCGTGGGTATTATTATTTTAGTCATAATATGGGTCAAATTCCCTCATGGGTATTATTATTTTAGTCATAATACGGGTCAAATCCCCTCATGGGTATTATTATTTTAATCACAATATGGGTCAAATCCCCTCATGGGTATTATTATTTTAGTCATAATATGGGTCAAATTCCCTCATGGGTATTATTATTTTAATTATAATATGGGTCAAATCCCCTCGTGAGTATTATTATTTTAGTGATAATATGGGTCAAATCCCCTCATGGGTGTTATTATTTTAATCATAATATGGTTCAAATCCCCTCATGGGTATTATTATTTTAGTCATGATATGGGTCAAATCCCCTCGTGGGTATTATTATTTTAGTCATAATATGGGTCAAATTCCCTCATGGGTATTATTATTTTAGTCATAATACGGGTCAAATCCCCTCATGGGTATTATTATTTTAGTCATAATATGGGTCAAATTCCCTCATGGGTATTATTATTTTAGTAATAATATGGGTCAAATTCCCTCATGGGTATTATTATTTTAGTCATAATACGGGTCAAATCCCCTCATGGGTATTATTATTTTAATCACAATATGGGTCAAATCCCCTCATGGGTATTATTATTTTAGTCATAATATGGGTCAAATTCCCTCATGGGTATTATTATTTTAGTAATAATATGGGTCAAATTCCCTCATGGGTATTATTATTTTAGTCATAATACGGGTCAAATCCCCTCATGGGTATTATTATTTTAGTCATAATATGGGTCAAATCCCCTCATAGGTATTATTATTTTAGTCATAATATGGGTCAAATCCCCTCATGGGTATTATTATTTTAGTCATAATATGGGTCAAATCCCCTCATGGGTATTATTATTTTTATCATAATATGGGTCAAATCCCCTCATGGGTATTATTATTTTAGTCATAATATGGGTCAAATCCCCTCATGGGTATTATTATTTTTATCATAATATGGGTCAAATCCCCTCATGGGTATTATTATTTTTATCATAATATGGGTCAAATTCCCTCATGGATAGTATTATTTTAGTCATAATATGGGTCAAATATCCTCATGGGTATTATTAATTAATAAACACTACTAGTAATTTGTAGGGAAACCTTGAGAGGAGGCTGGGCAGCCGAATATCGTGATGATGTCAATCAGTGGATTCAAGTTAACCTTGGTGACGTTATGTTAGTGAATGGAGTTATTACTCAAGGAAGCGCTAGCTTGAACCAATGGGTTACATCATACAAGTTCTTCTACGGTAAAACCGAGGAGAATTGGGAGGAGTACAGAAAAGTAATTGAGATATCTTTCTCCCAATATTTAGTCGAGTCCTCAAAGGGTTTTGATGAGCTTCCAGTGTAAGAACAAAATGGCAGGTCCAGGCGATGAGTCTACTGGATCTCAAAATAATCCGTCAAAAAGTTAATTTAGTTAATTATCCATGAGGGCATGTGTCAATCAGCCAATATAAATTCTTGTATAAATCCAAGCTGCTTTGTTAACAAATTTCATAAGACCTTGTATTATTACCACCTTGCCGGGCCAGTTCTAGGGGTTTTAGTGCTAGTTTAGAAGGCATTCATTTTACGATATCGACCTGAGCAATATGTGACGTCATAGTGGCGGTCCATATTGCCGGTCAATAATGCAATTAATGACCGGCAATTTTCCCCGGGAAATTAGATATCGTTCAGTGCCTAAGATTTTCTTGCTGTTTCAGTCATGGTCACTAACGGTGGTCATAATACTAATAACGTCATTTCTGCAGGCAATATAGTGAAATATTGGACCGAGGGCCGAAGTTACTATTAAGGCATGGTTAAGGTGATGTTGGAACGAAAACGTTTTTGAAAAAATGATTTACCTGCACGTGAAATGCTGATTTTTCATGCTTTCTAATTGTCCAATTTTGACAACACTGGAGTAACCATTGACCTGTTTCCATGTTTACTGAAAGAAAAATGTTTTCGTTCTACATGAACCTTGATACTTGAAGGATTAATCTAGATATCAATTGGTCCTATATATTATTATTAAACACAAATAGAAGATAGGTGGGCGTTCGATTAGCTAAACGACATGCGTTACGCTTGAACACGTAGTAACATTTTCATAAAGCTAACTTTTCTCGTTTCTAATTAAAGGTCCTAACAGGAAATGTAGACCAAAACAGTTACGTTACTAACGTGATTGAACCACCCGTGCTAGCCAGATTTGTTTGCATTAATCCTCAAACCTGGTCTATTCACATAAACATGAGATTTGACGTCATCGGATGTTCGATTCCAGAAGGTAAGAATGTTTCCATAGCGCTAACAATCAGGTTTTCGACAATATTAATGCGGATATATTTTATTATCGACCAGTTTACTAAGAATTTTAATATGAATATCCTTTATCTATCAATAATTTTATCAAAACTTGAAATTAAAAAAAATATGCAATAACATTTAATTAAGAATATGGCGCCATTTTGATCAGCTTCAATTTCATATTATTTGACTACAAAATGAAGTGACAATAGACATTATTTCTTTTCACGTTAGATCATGTCTTTAGGGTCTATTTTTCTTGTGACAGGTTTACAAGTTTTTCTTTCTAGGTTCTTTATAGTCATTTTCTTTTGACACTTGTGCTTAGATATCCATAGAATATGTTATTTTTACAGGACAACGAAGATATTTTCATGATTGTTATGTTTTCTTTGTCCCAAAGCGGGCAAATCACGCCCCATGGAAGTATGAAATATTCTATTGCTTAAGTTTTGCCTCATATATTTTAATTTGCCTCATATATCTAAATTTGCCTCACCTTCTTTTTAATCATGACTACACCCTTGAAGAACTTATTATGGTTTTGTTGAATATTATTACAGAGGTTCATTGCAAGAAGTTAACAGATCCACCCTCTGGCCATACGATGATATCTCAGCTGAACGGACGGAATGTTGGCGCAATAGTCGAGTACAAATGCTTGCCGGGGAACAGTTATTATTCCGGGGAATTCACAAAACAATGCAGGACTTATAGGTCATGGTATGGTGAATGGGTTGGTGATGACTTGAAATGTGCAGGTATGAACATCGCTGGGGTGTTTCTATTGTAAAAATCCAAAATCAAATGTCACCAAAGAAACGTTAATAGTCCAAGTTTTGAAATGTACAGTATATGTATACCAAACAATAAAGCAGGCATGGTCCGCGTAGCAAACAAAATCTCATCATAAAAGAGAGTCCAAATCTACCATTGAGAAACTATAGAATGGTAATGGAGAAGTCCTTTGAGTTGTTGTGACTATCATCTGAATTCTTCCTAGGAGGCATTTACATATAAAAATGAGTAGCCAGAAAGACTAGACTCAAAAATCCGAAATTAAAGTAAAACAGAAACTGAGCAGAACAGAACAGAGACGTTATTTTTAAAGCTACAAAACCTCATTGTTCCAATGACAAGGCTCCATTGATGAATCTGCTATTTATCTACGAGTGAATATCAATATACGACTGAACAAATGCAAATAGTCATACCTTTTATCCTTAGGCTGTTGTGATTTCGAGAAGACACCAACAACGATCATTATTTACAATTTCAATACACTCTCACTTGAAATTCCCCAAGGTAAAAACATTATTACTTACATTGTGTATCAATACAATTTTAATATTTTCTTTCACTATTTCCGTGTATAGCATCGCATCATACTGCCAAATATTATTAGATAGTAGTCGTGTTAGTTAATTTACTTAATATCACATTGGCTGATAAAGGAAATGTTTATTGTCTGTCTAGTGCTGTATAATCATCAACGTATTGTACTAGTTTTTGTATAATACAGTGTACTTTATTCTGCTGTTTAAATTCAAACTTCTCATTTGCTTATTTCACAATTGCTTTGTGTGTTCTTCTACGATAGGGAATAGTGTGGATGAAAAGGGGGGCTATGTAGGGCTGAATACGATGCCAAGTGGTGTTATAACAATAAATGATAGCGTACTCTCGAGTGAACTCAACAACACGTTCTGTTTAGAAACGTGGATAGATATCACTAGGTTAGAACAACAGAATGCAACTGTTTTTATTAAGGTGTCTAACACCTTTGGAATGATAATCAGTAATTCCATTGACAACATTGAGCTTCTTGCCTATCTCACTTCAAATGATACAACAAAGACTCACACAGTAAAACTAAATATGGAATTCGTGAAACATTCAAATATACTTCAAATAACTATGACAAGAGATGAGGAAATGGTCGGATACTTTCTAAATGGAGTCAAAATAATCACCAATGTAATAACAGAAGAACTAGGAACCCCGATGGATGATACCACAAAGGATTTTCTTGTGTTTGCAAGTGGTGACGTCACTATCTATTCAGTGCATCTGCAAAACACAAGCTGTTTCGAGACGGAGACATATAAAAATGGTAATGGTGAACTTTAGAATATGTTTATATATGTTTAATTTCTAATGTACACCAGGGTGAGTGTAAGAGTAATTAAATAATGCATGAATATCAGTTTTGTGGATTCCTTATTTAAGTAAATGACGGAAATTAAATGTTGACCAGTCACCTCTTTCAGCCCAAACGCTGAAGAAAACTGGCTGTGAGACATCAGATAAAAGTATTAGACTATCATGTCAGGGGGACGATGTGCTAGTTGTTGATACTGTCGAAGTGGGCCAAAGCAACAACAACAATGGTATCAACTATATGTGTCGGTTTGAGTTCAACTCCTGGTGCAATATCCAGGAAGTGAAGAATGACAATGTGATCAAGGACATGTGTGATAAGCAAAATGAGTGCACAGTGCACTACGATGATTATTCTATCCTCAGACCTAATGATTGTGATGAAAGCCACAACGTAACAGCAGTTATCAAATACCACTGCATAAGTGAGTTATAAATATATTGTCTAATACATAACATGAACAGAAATGATAAATACATGTATGGACACTGGTGATATTGCAAATGGTATGAATTTTTCAATAATGTAAACGACCATTTCTTATTTGAAATTCAACAACACAGGGCTCATGAACGGTAAATGATCTAGTAAATTGATGAATAGTAAATCAGATGAGAAAACAAATGGTTGCAGTCCTTTTCAAATATATATTTGAACAAACAATGGTTGCAGTCCTGTTCAAATATACATTTGAACAAACAATGGATGCAGTCCTTTAACAAACAATGGTTGCAGTCGTTTTCAAATATATATTTGAACAAACAACGGTTGCAGTCCTTTTCAAATATATATTTGAACAACGAATGGTTGCAGTCCTTTTCAAATATATATTTGAACAAACAATGGTTGCAGTCCTTTTCAAATATATATTTGAACAAACAATGGTTGCATTCCTTTTCAAATATATATTTGAACAAACAATGGTTGCATTCCTTTTCAAATATATGTTTGAACAAAGAATGGTTGCAGTTCTTTTCAAATGTATATTCGAACAAAAAATGATGGATCATGATTTCATCGTAATGCAACTGTTCTGTTCAAACATTTCTACATGTAGTCAATTTTACTTTATATGGTTAGGCACAATGATATTTTTAAAGGACAAATCAAAGAAAGAGAGCATGGCTACAATAACAGATGTGTTATCATACAATACCATGGTTTGACTTCGTAAAATATGTTCTTTGTGTTGGAATATTATTGAACAGGAAGTATTGTTACTGTTTCTCTTTCTCAACAAATATAAAAGAGGAAAATAACATATAAGACTCCATCATTGCAATATGGATATACCATTAGATGTTTTTTTCAGGAAAACAAAATATATATCCTCAGAATATAACAACATCACAATCGGTTTTATCGACTGTAAATGACCTGTCCCCATACGATTCTTGTGCTGCTGTACCCTCTGGTACAAGGGAGATAGCATTTAATTTGGGAAGCTGTTTTCAAATCAATGAACTGATAATTAACTTTAGTAAGTAGGCTTTGACTTGAAAAAGTTATCTGATACTAGTATATAGAACACAGTGGCGGATCCAGGAACCAACAAGGGGAGGGGGCAAATTTTTGGTCAGAGAAAAACAAACAAAAAAAATTGGGCCCCTAAAACCGAAAAGTCGGCCCAAATTTTGAAAATTATACCTGAAATTAAAAAATAAGGCCTTAGAAGGCCTAGTAATGACCAAAAAGGCCCACCTTTTGGAGCCTTAAGGCATTTTTTCTTGGTCCAACTTAGGGGGGAGGGCAAGCCCCCATGGCCCCCCGGATCCGCCACTGGAACATTAAGAAAAAACTTTCTTTTGGTGAGGCTTCGAACTGACTGATTTGGGCTTTAGACGTAGTTAAATGGGTTGCCATGCTTTGTATTTTTGTATTTCCAAAATTGCACAAACACTAGAGAAACCTCCTCTTTTCAGATATTTCATCTTCATCACGATCGGACACAATTCACATGTTTGATATCAAGGTGCATACTGACGGGGAAGAAAATGGAATTGATTATTGCATCAAAGGGGCAGATGCTCAACATTCAATTCCTGTTCTGTATGAGTGTGGAGATTCTGTGTTTGGGGATCGTGTGGCTATTGTATTAGACAGCGACCCAAGCCCAGATTGGATGATTTGTAATGTTGAGATTTACGCTACACAAGGTAATGTTGATGTATAAGGTATATGTAATAATAAGGTATAACATATTACATTATAACACCAATAATTAAAACATGGCGTAAAAAAACAACATAAAAAACATGACGTAATTAAAACTAATACAGAACATCAATATGCCCTGAGTATAATGCAGGCCAGTATCCAGAGGGGGGGGGGGGGTCGTACGTAAATCATATATTTTGATCCTCGAATCGCTTAGAACGCACTAAATTAGCCTCAAAATCTTAAACTTTTCAGTGGAGCATGTGATTATGATCCTAGAATCGCTCAGAACGTGTTCAAAAATTCGATTTTTTAAATCCATAAATCATATATTTTGATCCCTAGAACGATCAGAACGCACCAGAGTCGCCGAGAACGTGCCAAAAAGTCTAAAGTTTTGAAATAAATCATATATTTTAATCTTGCTCAGAACGCACAAAATCAGCCCAAAACTCCTAAATGTTCCGGGGGAGCATGCCCTCTGGCTACGTACTCACAAGCTATTCTTTTACAGGGCATGGTAATTTGGCTCGAATTTTAAGGGCATGTAATGTTTTGTTTCTTTCTCTCCTAATAATAAGTTGTTGTTTGTATAAGCAGATAAACGCAACAAAAGAGATGGAGATACTAAGTTCGAAATGAATTAGAAAACATAAATTCATTCTTACTTGCAGTATCCTATGATCCAGCGACGTGTAAAAATAGCAACAATAATCAACCAACAACTGATGACATTGTCACAACAGATACTGGTGTCATGACAACTGATGATATTGTCACAACAAATACTGGATTCATCACAACTGATTACATCGTCACAACGAATACAGGAGTCATCACAACTGATGACATCGTCACAACGAATACTAGACCGATCACAACTGATAACATTGTCACAACGAATACTACACCGATCACAACTGATAACACTGTCACAACGAATACTACACCGATCACAACTGATAACACTGTCACAACAAATACTGGAGTCATCACAACTGATGACAAAGTCACGACGAATACTGGCACCACCAAAACTGATGAGATTGCCACAACAAAAACAGGAACCATCACAACTGATGAAATCGTCACAAGAAAGACAGAGACCACCACAACTGATGACATTGTCGCACAAAGAAATCGAGATATTTCAACAACAACCAAAACAACTGTCATCCTTACTTCATATCCAAAACAAACAATTCAAACTGGATTTAAAGCATCGCCAAACACAACTATGCCCAAGACTACCCCTCTAATGATTGTATTTAAAGACATAGCAGAGGAAGCTGAAAAGGCTGATGAATATGTGTATATTAAAAGAATTGAGTATGAGCCGAGTGAAGCAAAATATGCAGCCGCTGTGGCAATCCCAATCTGTGTCCCACCTATTATCTTTATCTCGGTGGTCGTTATTCTAGACCTCCCAAAGCTCATCATGGATATTTCGCAAGCTTACAATCTAGTTGTGTATGGCACAAAAAATAAACCAAAGATTGGGCCGAAAGCGCCCATATTGAAGGCGAATGAACCTAAAATTGAAAATGACAATATCAAAACATAAGGCTTAAACTGATGGTCAAGTTGAACATAAGAACCATTACAGTGCAGTATGATAAAATGATTGTCTGCAGAATTGGCAGAGTACTTTTTCTAAGCCTTGAAGATCTAGCTCAACGGTTGAGCTCTTTCAAAGGTACAGATGTTCGAGAATATCATTGAACCGTTTGTACTTCATGTTTATAGGACACTGTTTCACGATCCCTCAATAAACCAAATAAAGTAAATGGATACTATGAGAATATTAACATTACAAGGACACAAACGTGTACTTAACACGTTTACATGTTCAAGTTTTAAATTCATTGTGAGGCCGTTTTTCTTAAAGTTTGCAGACATGGATTTTAGCATTTGTCTTCAAAATGGCTGACAGGAAGTAGGTATCGACTCGAAACTTTCTGTACCGCATCTGTAAGTCCCTATAAGTTATCCTTGAAAATTTGAAGATTACATCTCTAGCGGTTTTGGTGAAAACTATCGGATGTACAGACAGACTGACGGACATCCATATGTACAGACATACATACGCGCCTAGGCCCGACAATATAGCCTCACACTATGTGAAGGGGACATAAAAGTATTTGCCATGACACAAGCATATTGTTATTGTTCCTTGTGAAGTGAGAATGTTAATTAGATTATGAAATAATGAACATTGATTTCGATTTTGCATCATGAATAAATAGTTTATATGATATAATGACTGAGCTCATTCCCATTCAACATTCAACTTTCTCTGCACTCTCTAGTGTCTTGTAACATCTTAAATCATATAATGATGTCAAAGTTAAAGAACACGAGACATGAATTCAAAGGACTTTCATTTTTCAAAACGTCATTAAATCCTAGTTCTTAAGAATATATCTCAATATACAACAGATAAGATTTGAATATAATTTTGCAATCCACTCATTCTTTCTCAAGTATGGTTTCCCCACTTTCACATTATGGAATTAATCTATTTCAAATGTCTCAGTCACATTTCCCAAGATCCACAGCAACTGTAAGGCGGTCGTAGCTTCCCGGTAGCTTCCCAAAATCGAGACAAATATGCAGCATGAAATATTAAGTATATGCATTGCAATGTAGATTTGCTATATCGAATTTGTGAAGCTACGAGAGCCTCGAGGAGAGCCACCGAAGAGCTTTAATATATTAGCTAGATTGATGATGTCATAGGTTGTACTTTTTCAAAATTAGCAATAAGTAAATCATATTTTTGCGTGGACAGATTGCTGCCTGCCTATAACTAATGACATCATCAATCCACAGTAGTCAATATATTGTAGTTTCTCTGATGGATCCAAAGATGGCAGGGTTTATAGTAAACATCTACCACCCTCGTTTCCTGGTTTACCAAAAGTGGTCTGGATTTAATAGAGAGGTCTATTAATAAATTTTCACAAATCCAGAAGCACTTTTCACAAATGTGGAGAATTTTGACTGCTGAAACTTTGGCCAGCCTACAAATCCCTATTTACTTAATACAGTAGCTTGTATAAAAAAAACATGAGAGAACTTATTCATAAAACAAAACTGTTCCATTCCAAAATAACTGAAAATAATCTTTTATATAATATTCAATTTATTTATAATAAACCCTTGGTATGCACATTATCTATTAGCAACATGGTTGAAAACCAATGACTACCAATGCTACCACATGGTGGTGATGTGAAAATTATCATGATGCTGATGCAATTGCAGCTTTCTCTTCATTTACACAACTTTCTCCTACATTTTCATTGTCTTTAATGTCCTCATTGTCTTTAGTGTCCTTAGCCTTCTTGGCTTTAACTTGACGTTTCACTTCTGGTAGTAAATCATCTATCTTAATAGGGAACATCTCAGGGGAGGGATGACAGGTCATCACTGAGTTCAAAATAAATCTACCTAGAAAAAAAGAAAAGAAACCTAGAAACCCTTTTTAGATAAGAACAAATAGAATTCAGATTAATATGAAACAGTGGTCTGCTGGAGTTTCAAACAAGGCATTGACATAAAAATGTCAACACCTACCATTTGTTGCAGTACACCTATAATGCCACTGCCGATTGGGTCCCTCATGTATGATATGTACTTTTAATGATTAATGGCAATAAAATCTCTTGATGAAAAAAAACAAAACCATTTGTTGCAAACACCAAATGATTACCAACGAACACCAAACACCATCCACAGAACAGCTGGAGACTATAACAATATGTCATCACTTCTAGCGGTAGTAAGAATGGATTAATTAATATACAGATATGGTGAAGGAGTAGTTCGTTCGAGAGCTGCCTGAATAATTCTGTATTGAAGTTATCCTTAATGGGTGAATGGCTGTAATTACATCCTAAATATACCTAGAATATTTCATCATATCTTAATGATATCTGGACAGTCAAATTAACTTTATTTTCTGTGATTATAAAAGTTTGATGAAGTAGTTCATGTAGGCACCTTATTTATTGCCTACCACCCTATGCAAATGGTGCTTACAGAAAATGCTTGGTGTGAATATGTGCGAATGTTTTCTGATTTTTATATAAAATTGCACAGAAAAAATGACATTCAAGATGCAACAATAATTTATATAAATGGTATGTTCATCACCAATACTGAATAAAGGCTGTGAACGGTGTATAAAATTCAATTTCAAAATCTTTGTGTTGGAAAGAGGTTTCAAATCAAATATGATCGTCAACTCCACACCACTTGCATATCTGCATTGAATATTTTCTGCAGGCACCATCTGCATAGGGTGGTAGACAATGAATAGATTCGGACAATGAATTAATTTCCATTAAAACTGAAACAATTGTAGGTAGTTCTTTCAAATTTGGAACTTATGGTACTGCTAGGTAAGAACTGTTTTCAAGCTTAGATGGTAAAGGAAAGATGATTTTTCCAAATCTACCAATTATGTAAGTTAGATATTTTTATGAATAAAATATATTTAAGGGTTATCAAAGATAAGGACTACAGCTATAGACCTTCTTACATTAATTGATAATTTAAGGGAAATTGAAGAATTTAGACTTAAAGTGTGCGCCTGACCCGGCTACGTATAGCACAGAGTTTATACTGGCGGATTAGACTAGTTCATTTTTTATATGTGTGTGAAAGCTTTCTCTTATTTGCGTTTTTTCGTTTAGTACGGTTTTGTTATAATTGCTGAGGTCATATAACCGGGATGAAACAATGATTATCGTTGACTGCCCACACACAAAACATACGTTGAGTGAACAGTGTTATTACAAACAACAGGCTTTAGAATACAAAGCCCAGTAGTGTGATAATAAGCTGTACACTACCACTGCTGCATGTACATATTAGTAGGGCTCCCAAAGAGTGGATAGGGAGGTTGTGTTTGTCACTTTTAAATTTTACATTTCAAAATTTTCATTTTACATGTCATAATTTGTTGGTTTCATTCGTTTAGCCAATCAAAACATTGTAAAACAATAAATTGTCTGTTACGTACAATCAATTTTGTTCAGTTTTGATTAGTTGTCAGAATAAAGTTACGTTCATCTGAATCCATGTATCAAAACAAAAATCTTATTTTCACTTCAAAATACTTCAGTGAGATGAATGCTCGGAATTGTCACATGCAATAACTTATTGTCGTATTCGTTATTTTATCTTCTCGATAGTAGCATTTAGTAGCACATTTGATGCCAGGTCACCTTGTCGCGTACCTCTTGGGGAGCCCCACATTTATGTGTGTACTCATGGAAGTAAATTCCCCGGTGTAGCCGAGAGCCACAAACTTTTCAACAGCTTCGAAATGGCCAATTTCTCTCATATATACTCTAAATATTTTATTATTTAGCACCTACAAAGTATTGCTAATAACCATATGTAATTTCAATAAGGAAACTTATCTGGCTACATGTAAATTCAATATCAACACTAGCTGTTCTCTCAACACGCCCTGGCTTACCTTGTGGTGACAAACCCTGGATTTTCGCTATTTATAGTTTATCAACACCTGGACGCATGCACATTTTATAGTTTATCGGGCACTTTAAAGCTCCTTGTTATCTCCTTACCTCCTGGTTTCATTGAAGCAATAGCTTTAACATAAGCATCCAGATTTGCATGAAGTTGTTGAGTTGCCATGTCGAGCCTTCCTATTGTAACTGTTAAGAAACCCTCTGCTTCGGAGTCTCCAGGAAATGAGTTAAATGTCTTTCCCTTTGTGAATCTGTGAACCATCTCTTTCATGTCCAATCCTAAGCTACCTGAGGCCAGAAACAAAGTAAATGTAATATCAAATCTCAATGTAAATCAACCTTGCAGATTTCATGGCTTACTGACCACTTCCAAAGAGGTTATGTCACTATTACGTGAAATATGCCTAAGTTATGCCATTGCCAATATAGGACCAACCTTGGGAGGGGCTCTACATTTGAGCAAGAACGAAGGCATATTTCACGTCATTGTGACATACACTGATGTATTGCATACCTTTATTCCCATGACTACTTACGATACATAACGTCACACAAGTGACATATGTGTGCAAGTAGAATTTGATTGAAATGAAACGTGACATCATGATATTCACACCGGAATAGCATGACAACGATTAAGTCAGATACCGTTGTCACAAATGGCGGACATAGCCATCACTTCAACTGTTTAATCACTTGGTCCTCATTTCATGGGATTTTATCGTCGCTAATTCTGTGCATGTATTGAGCTCTTGTGATGATGTTTCATATGAAATCACAATTTCAAACAAATTGGGTCATGAATGGCCACAATATAGCCTCTTCCATGTCGTCAATGACAACAGAATCTGAATTTGAGTAATTTAGAATGGCAACGGCATATGTTAATTACAGTGTCCGTTGTCCTGTATCTCATTTTGATCAGTTAAATTAAAGACTTTATTTCGATGGTAGAACATTATTAACTGTACAATGGGTATTAAGACACTTTGATTGATTGTTGTTCCAAATGAATTTAGTCTAGGTGCTCTATTAAACATACAGTTCATGAAAATCTAATTGAAGCGACGGTTATGTCCGCCATTTGTGACAACGGTATCTAACTTTACCATTGTTACGCTATTCTGGTGTGATATTGTCATGGTTATTAATTAAAGAAAGTGGGCCATATCTGTGTAATCGGGCAATCTCAGTGGATAAAGCCTGTATACTTTTCCAATGACTTCCAAACAAATGCTTCGCTAGGTATGTAATACTCCTCCTTATTCTACCATTTTGAATTTTTTCTCCGTTTTAACATGAATGGTTGGATGGTTGATGGTCATCATTAGCTGTTTTCTTTGATGGAAAAATAAAGACAAACACGATACATTCACTTAGTGCATACCTCCTTCGTGAACCTACATTTTACTGTTGACCTCACTTTACAGTGGAGGCATTCAATTTACTAAATCTACATGTACCTCAACAGGGGTCAACAAAATACATACCCTTAGGCTGCATGGGGAAAGTATCTCGCAATATCTTCCTAATTGGAACTAGATCTGTGACAATATCGGGTGTGCACACCACATGGTCAAAATCACTATTGTTGATCAATCCATTCTCTATCTAAAATTACAGGTAATAAAATGGTATATTTTAGTTGTAACTATACCTCCCTTAGTCTGAATGACCCAATCGGTAAGTACCAATGTCAAAAAGGATTGACTCCCAGCATTCTTTTGTGTTCTTATTTTAACTGACATTGACCAATTTGGTAGTTATATTACCCGTCATGCATGTTCATTTCCTTACTAAATACTGGAAATGAACATTTTAGTAATATTATTACGAAATTGGTCTGTACCATTCAAAAATGAGATTTTAAAAGAATACAAGGAGCCAGTCCTCCTTGTACAAAAATAACTTTTAATTGATTGATTGATTACTGATTCAATTTTCACTTAAAAATCTAAAATGCTCTGTAAAATTCAGCCAGTAGTTAACCCATTCAGCCAGTAGTTATCCAATTGCCTATTCAGCCAGTAGTTAAAGTAGTTAACCCCTTTTACTGTTGTATTAGCTGTTGAAACTTGGTGATTTTAAATCTTCAATGGTGTCTGATATGACAGAAAACTACACATGTTGGGTAAAGGTTGCAGCCATGTTATGAAAAATACCCTTAACCTATTGAATCATTGTAGCTTGATTTCTAAGCCACTGACCTGACTAATGATGTCACTTCCTCCTGCTTGTATGGCACCTTCCTGTAGCGCCACTTCATGTAAGGCAGGATCCTACAATCAAAATTTATATTTTATACATAATATAATAAGTCTCTCGTAAACAGGGAATGGCTGGACATCAAATCCTAGCTTTAAAAAAAATTTTAACATGTCAAATTGTCAATGTGTGTGTAAAACTATTTTACTACTACATAATAAATGCGGATAGTAATGAAAGGCAGAAAAATATTGAGGACATTCAGAGTTTGTATGAGACTTTATTCCATAGTTAGGATGATATTCAATATTCATAGGATAACATGTCAAAATATAAAAACGGTATTTTTGTAATCAGTGGTAAAATATGATATTTTTGACAAATTTTCAGTTAACCGTAGCATACGGTGTTTAAGCCATGACATACGGCGCTGTATGCTATGAATTATGGATTTTTGCTACTTCAGACTCAAAACGAGACTAAGTGTCAACATCGCCGGATCGTTTGGAAACTTCGTATTAAATAACATAATTTCCGACGATTCTGATGATGACTTTAACTATGGGATACAAAGAACATCCTATGAATTACTCGTGATATGATTTTAATCCACTCATGGATATTTATGTGGATAAAAATCATATCACTCATAAATCATAGGATATCCTCTATTCATCCCATAGTCAAGGTCAAATCTGTAGAATAACACATACACCGTATATATATTTATGATATTTTGCAAATGCGTGGAAAAAAGCGATATCCGTGGAATACGGAGAATATTCTACAGATATCACTTTTTCCACGGATTGTAAACTCCTGCCAATGTGACGTGCATTGTTACATGGTAACATGTTATATGCTTACATGATGATTTCATGACGTCACAAATATGGAAACCAGAACAACGGCAACGCCAAAGCTTAGCGAATCCCATCGAACAGCCATGGATGGCATTTTTACAAACAAAGTATAAAGCAAAAATGGCAGCCATTTTTCAAAATGGCCGCCTTCTACCAAAAGTGTCATTAGATCATGTGCCATGCTTATAGTATTCATATACCAAATATGAACAAAATCGCTCCGAGACTTTTCAAGTTATAGTAAAAAACGTTAAAATGGCGGCCATTTTTCAAAATGGCCACCTTCTACCAAAAGTGCCATAAGACAGCGTGGCGTGCTTATAGTATTTACATACCAAATATAAACAAAATCACTCCACTACTTTTCGAGTTATAGTAAAATACGTTACAATGGCAGCCATTTTGAAAAATGACCGCCTTCTACCAAAAGTGTCATTAGACAGTGTGCCATGCTTAAAGTATTCACATGCCAAATATGAACAAAATCCCTTCACTACTTTTCGAGTTATAGTAAAATACGTTAAAATGGCGGCCAATTTTCAAAAACTTTTCAAAATGGCCGCCTTCTTTCAAAAGTTTCATAGGACAGTGTGTCATGCTTATAGTATTCACATACCAAATATGAACAAAATCGCTCCACTACTTTTCGAGTTATAGTAAAATACGTTAAAATGGTGGCCATTTTGAAAAATGGCCACCTTCTACCAAAAGTGTCATAGGACAGTGTGTCATGCTTATAGTATAAACATACCAAATATGAACAAAATCGCTCCACTACTTTTCGAGTTATAGTAAAATACATTAAAATGGTGGCCATTTTTCAAAATGGCCGCCTTCTACCAAAAGTGTCTTTAGACAGTGTGCAATGTTTATAGTATTCACATACCAAATATGAACAAAATCACTCCACTACTTTTCGAGTTACAGCAAAAATCGTAAAATAACGAGTAAAGGTCGCCATTTTTCAAGATGGCTGCCATGAGCTTCTTTAATATCTACATTTCTAGCTTTATTAATGTCCTATATAATTTTTTACATCTAAAACATAATGCTATTACAGTTTTACATATTGCACCTAAATTACTGTATATTCGGCACTAAAATGGCCGCCATTTTGAAATGAGCGGCCATTTTGAAAATCGGCTTTTGAGCAGAACTTCTACCCCCATAGGGTATATGTGTAAAGAATATGAACAAAATCGGGCCAAGGGTATTTGAGTTATTGCCCGGACGTACGTACGTATGGACGGACGGACGGAGGCGTTCCCTATATCCCTCCGAACTTCGTTCGATGGGATAATAATTAATGTTTTGGCTATAGTTCAGACAAATAAAACTGAATGTTGTTGTGAAATGCTTTGGAAGGTGAACTATGGGATGATTTTACCTCCACTATGGGATAATTAGAACATCCTATGATTTTTTCGTGATATCATTTTTATCCACTCGTTAAAGATGCATTATGCCATAGGTTTGTCCCCCAAACAATCAATGATGTCCTATTGTTATTGCTCATATAATATCTCACGTACCATGGATATATCTTGAGAATAGCTTTTGGGTATATTATTGCCGAAATATCAGAAATGATCAACAGAACAACCAATACCATAGTGCTTTAATTGAAAACAATCATATTCGGTTCCAAAAATATGTTCTAGGGGTTCATAGAAAAGCCACAAACATGGCAATAAGAGGAGAATTGGGAAGAATACCTTTGGTAGTTAATATTATAAAAAGACATGTCAAATACCTCAGTAATTTAGAGTTGAGTTCAAATGGGAGTTTACTAAACGATTCATTAATTATGAGTAAAATATTTGATTTAACAAATAACACATTTACATGGCACAAACAACTCAAAAATATACTGTGCCATATTAAAATAAAAATGTCTGATGAATTAAATCTTGAAGATAAGGTATACGTAATCCCCAGTTACTAAAGCAATACGTTTATGGGAAAAGTTCCCAACTGATCAAAAAGAAAATAAAAGTTTTGCCAGTTTTAAGAGAAGTGTCAAGACGCATCTTAAAAATAAAAATTTACTATTACCCACATCTCAATTAGAACTATCACAAAAGAGTGAAATATCTTTGAACCGTATTAGATGTGATTTTATTTTCTCTGGCATTTTCTCTTACATAATTTTAGAGATGTAGAAGGTCCTAAATGCTTATGTGGCCACAGAGAACAAACCACAAAATGCCTTCTCTTCATTTGCCCACTGTCAGTTACAGAAAGAGAGGGGAGCTAAGGGTGATGCCAGAACTGAAACATTTCTTTTTAATTGGATGCATTTGGGAACAAAAGATCAATACACCTTTGTTTGTTGATAATTTAGTATACTGTACTCCTGGTAAATTTCGACGCTATAAAATTTCGCTATTTTCAAAATTGCAATTTTGCGGCTATTTAATTTCACGGGTTTTGAGTTGATGACATTTCATATTTCGCGGATTGCACAAGTTGATTCTTTTCCTCCAGCTCTGTAAACTCCAGATTGATAATATTAATGAGCTTAGCAAGTACATCAATTGTTGAATTTAGGGCATTTATTTGAATATTCTTGAATGGCTTTCGACTTCAATTTGTAGGATATCATTGTCCTGAACAGTTCTTGCCTTTGTTGGCCTAATAAGCCAATTCAAAATGTTAGACATTTTAGGCCTTTTTGAATTATCGCCCAACAACACTGGAGGAAAGGTTTTACACCGTACGAAACATATCAAAAGTCCGGGGTCAAATTCCAGGGGATTTAAAAGACAAATTTCGCGACGATAAATGTTCGCAATTTTACTACATTCATGAACAAAGCGAAATTAAATCGCACAGGAACAATACCCGGAGTACAGTATGACAAAATTAAAGGTTGTGTATTTAAAGTTTTTGCTAAGTTTCTCTGTAAAATAATGGAAAACATTTAAATTATCAACTGGACATATTGTAAACACTTATCACCTTTTTTTCAACAAAAAGCCATATGTTGTTAATCCTACATGGCCAATAATGCCTTTGTAAATAGGCCCTTATAGTACCTAGTTTGACCAATAGAGAGGACATTAATCTGGCCTATTATTTATATATATACTTCCCAACTATAGTAGACCATCCTGTACATAGCTCTTATTTAGATATATATTTCCACCTAAAGCAGACCACCCTGTACATTACTCTTATTTATATATATACTTCCCAGCTATAGTAGACCACCCTGTACATAGCTCTTATTGAGATATATATTTCCACCTAAAGCAGACCACCCTGTACATTACTCTTAGTTATATATATACTTCCCAGCTATAGTAGACCACCCTGTACATAGCTCTTATTTAGATATATATTTCCACCTAAAGCAGACCACCCTGTACATTACTCTTAGTTATATATATACTTCCCAGCTATAGTAGACCACCCTGTACATAGCCCTTATTTAGATATATATTTCCACCTGAAGCAGACCACCCTGTACATTACTCTTAGTTGTATATATACTTCCAAGCTATAGTAGACCACCCTGTACATAGCCCTTATTTATTATATTTCAAGCTCAAGCAGACCACCCCATATAATATCATATTACAAAATAGTCAGACATGATAACATACTTCCCATATATATTAGTCCAACCTGTACATAGCTTTTATTTATATATATGCTTTATAGCTACAGTACAGTAGACCACTTTGTACATAGCTCTAATTTAGGTATATAATTCCTGCTTATCATGCTTTACCCTGTATATGATTCCCTGATATACTAGCAGACAGAAAAGTATATATGTTTTCCTAAAATATATCAATTTTAATCATAAGCAATGCATAGTTAATGGATAATTATTCTAAGGGTTATCCTATGAAAAATACATAGGGGTTATGCACTGGGAGGTTTTGGATACAGGGAATATCCCGAGGGATATACAATATATCTTCCCGAGGGATCGAAGGGACCGAGGGAAGATGTATTGTATATCCCAAGGGATATTCCATGTATCCAAACCGACCGTGCATAACTGGTGTATCCCATACTTGAGTGGGTTTAGGGTAGATATAACCTTTTCCACCTTTTTCAAATGACAAGATATTCTTCTTGTTCAATACAATGAAATTGTAACATTTAAACTTAAAAAAAATAAATTTTAAAATTAAAAAATTAAAACTTTTGATATTTAATCTTTTTTAAACTTTTGAAAAATTCCCAGGAGCAGGATG